TAAAAAATAGCCATTTGCTGTTCAGAGCAGTAGGAAATCCAAAACTACAAAAATACATACATTTTGCTTTTAAGAACTCTTCAATGCGCCTTTATTTTTAATTTGATTAATTGCCAGAATAACTGATCATTAAATAATCGTTAGTTGCAGCCCTAATTGGATAACCCTATTGAAAAGCTGCTCTTTGTGTTGTACCAGCTTTACTTTGGATGTTCTCCCAGAGTGAACTGAGTTACAGCTGCCTGTGTTTCTCGTGTTCCCCCAGGAGGGGGCGTCAGCGGTGGAGAACCTGAACGAGATGCAGTGCATGTGGTTCCAGACCGAATGTGCGCTCGCCTACAAAGCCATGAACAAGTTTGGAGAAGCCCTGAAGAAGTGTCACGAGATCGAGAGGGTTAGTCTTTACTTCACCTGCTTCCTGCCGCTCCGTCGAGCGTCACTCCTCTGTTTGAGCTAAAACTCTTCTTCGTTGCTCTGGCCAGCATTTTGTGGAGATCACAGACGACCAGTTCGACTTCCACACCTACTGCATGAGGAAGATGACGCTACGCTCCTACGTGGACCTCCTGAAGCTGGAGGATGTTCTCCGCATGCATCCGTTCTACTACAAGGCCGCCACCACGGCGATCCAGATTTACCTGAGCCTCCATGACAATCCCCTGACGGACGACAGCAAAGAGCTGCAGGCGGACACCGGTGAGGAAAAAAAAATAAAAAATCAGGCCGAGATCATTGTTCACACTCATTCTTTCAGTTTAGCAAACAAAGGCTGAAAATGTTTGATTCAGCTTTAAGTTCCTCTTTGCGCCTTTTATTCTCCAGCCAACCTGTCTGATAAAGAGCTGAAGAAGCTGAGGAACAAACAGCGAAGAGCCCAGAAGAAGGCGCAGCTGGAGGAAGAGAAGAAGAACGCAGAGAAGGAGAAGCAGCTGAAGAACCAGAAGAAGAAGAAGGAGGATGACGACGAGGAAATCGGAGGGCCAAAAGAGGAGCTCATTCCCGAGAAACTGGTCAAGGTTGGTGACGGAACATAAAGGGAGCAGATTATCAGAAACCGATGGAGATATTAACGCGATTATTGGTTCTGTCCTTTTGCAGGTAGAAAGTCCGCTGGAGGAAGCAGTCAAGTTCCTGACGCCGCTGAAGCACCTGGTTAAAGACAAGATTGAGACGCACCTGTTGGCCTTTGAGATTTACTTCAGGAAAGGTTGGCTAGCTGCCTTTTCTCCTCCTCCGACTTTAAAAGCTTGTTCTCTTTTTCACCCTTTGCTAATCTGTGCTCTCCTTGTAGAAAAATCCCTGTTGATGCTCCAGTCGGTGAAGAGAGCCCTCAGCATCGATCCGGACCACCCGTGGCTTCACCAGTGTCTGGTGCGCTTCTTTAAAGGAGGTAAGGCCCAGTTTCTAGTTCTGTTTTGCTTCGTAGCGAACACTTCTCCTCCTCTACAATGACCATCATGTCTCGTCTTCTGTCTTCCTTCAGTTTCGGAAAGCAAGGAGCTGCCGGACGTGGTCAGGACGGTGCTGAAGCAGGAAATCACCCGGCTGTTTGGAGACAGCAACGCTAAGAGCTTCAACCAGGCCTACCTCACCAAGCACTCTGACTCCATACCACACCGACTGGCTGGTGAGCAAATGTCATGACATTAGAACCAGTTTGATCATGTCATTTAGTAACAATGCTGCTCCCTCGTGGTTCTTTATTGAATTGTAAGCCGGTCGTTGTGTCCTTTTCGTTGCCGCTTGGCTCAATGTGCAAAAGATGTCAGAGTGAAACCTAAACTTAGTTCAGGACTCTCGTCTTTGATCTAAAATATGCTTCTTGCAAAAATATTTTTCTACTTTAAGGCGAAACTTAGACAAGTATCCGTAGCGTCATCGGTGAGGGGAGCATATTGCAGAATCAAATATTATTCCACTTCATGCGAGTTTGTTCACTGCACCGACTCTACAAAGTTTAAAACTCGGCTCAATGCAGGAGAAGCAGCTGCTCTGTTTTACAAACATGGCGTTGCATTCCCTCAAAGTTACGTTGTCTTCGTCCTGCAGCTGCTAAGATGATGGTGTATCTGGACTCGTCAACGGAAACGAAAGCAGCAGAACTGGCCGCATCACTGGACGAGTCGCTCAACAACAGAACTATACAAGTACGCATTCACTTGGTTCCAGATAAGATTCTACTTTTGATATCTTTCAGTAACACTACTTACACTGTCACTCTACTAATTTAGGTAGTTTCTAATAATTTTTTTTAAAGATTTTTATTTTATTCATTTATTACTCAAAAAATTTTGCATAAGAAGAAGCAAGACTAGCATTTTAGCGTTTTTTGTTGTTTTTTTTTTTTTTTTTGGCTCAAAATAAATGCAACCCTGAACAATTTGGAGCTGCTTCCTCATTTCTCCCGTGTCCGTCTCTTCCTTTGAAACACAGACCTGCACAGAAGTCCTGGATTGTCTTCGGAGCGGCTCGCTGGGAGACTGTAAAGAACACGCGGAGACCTACCGTGCCGAGTGTCACAAGCTTTACCCTTACACGTTAGCTTTCATGCCTCCCGGCTACGAGGAGAACACAAAGATGGCGAACGGAGACGTTTCCACAGAAACGGAGGAGCTAGCCAACGAGATGTGAGTGCCGCAGAAGAGCAGCGCATAAGAAAAGGAGTTGGGCTGAGCACAGAGCCTTGTGGTACGCCAGGCAGACATTTTTTTTTCTTTCTTTCTTTTTTTTTTTTTTTTTTTTAAAGAGCCAGAAACAGGAAGCAAAAGGCGGTTTCGGTCCTCTGGCTCAGCTTAATCTGGTCTGACCTGGCATGGCTTGGCTCTCTCCCATGTGGGTGAACTTCAGGACTGTGTGGGTGTGTGTGCCGAGTGCGTGCGTATGTATTTGTCGGTCAAAAGGGGGGGAAAAAGAGGAAGATGGTGGAGCAAACATTTTACTTTTTAACAGTCTGCAACCAAGTTGAACTTGAAAATAAATAGTCATCGTGAAACAGATGGGTGAAACTGTGACACAGAGACACAGATTGCTGGTTTTGGCTCGGGTCGTTGAATTTACAGCCACTTGAGTTGGAACTCCAAATAAACATCTATAGCATAACTGTGTTCCCTTGTTTTAAAAAGAATATCTCATTTATATGGAAACGAGACACAGCCGTCGCTCTATGATGTGGGACGGAGCGGATCTGGTCTCCGGTCTGCAGCCAGCTGAACAGGACATCCAGCGGCTGCAGGCGCATCTGTATCCGCTCTAAAACTCACTTCAGCGTCTGCGGAGAGTTGGGAGAAAGAGCCCGATCCCCCGCGGAGACACGGCAACGTGTGGACAGTTTTCCATCAGAATGTGCTTCCTTCACCGCTCCGGGTTCAACTTGGGAACATTTAATCCCGTCTGATCTTTTTTGGAGAGCACCTTGTAGCACAGAATAAAAGCTGTAAAAGATTGTGTTGCGCTCTGTTTCCAATACACTGCTACTGTGTTGTTGCTTTTTTTTTTTCTCCCCTACATGGTTATGACAGAGATGGGTAAACCTAAGCAATACCATAGTCACCTTCCTGTCCATACAAAGGGTCAGTGGAACCACGAACGCTAATCGGGCTTTGATACATTTGTGGATCCACTGATCCTGCAAGCAGAGGCCCGTGTGTAGTTGTTGTTGTTGCAGTTAGAAATGGTTTTATCTGCATGTCAGCGCTCTGTTGAAAAGAAAATGAGCATTTTTAACGCGTCCTTCAGAGGGACCTCGTACCTGAAGTGGCTCTCGGAACGGTCAGAGATCAGCATTGAAGCCTGTTGAGGGAAGGTGTCGCAACACAATTTTACCTCTTCTGTTCCCCTCAGTTTCAGGAACTTTTCTTCCCCTTTTTCCTCTCATTCGGGTTCTAATGTGAAAGATGAAATCTGAGGTGGTGATGTATGATATCTCTGGATTTTTGTATTAAAAACAAAAGAAAAAAAATCAGAGTTTTTGTGCATCTTTCGCTGCCTTCTATTGTAAATCTAGATTCTCTGAAAAGCTTTGATAGACTTTTCTCACTTTTGAAATGCTCAGATGACAAAACGAACCGCTTGTACTTTAAATAGATTTGACACACAAAAAAGTGCTTCTACTTTGGACGGGAGGATAAACTAATGTGATGCAGAAACTTTGAACATTCTTGAAGGTGAATCTGTTTCCTGTAGAGGTCGCTGCGGAGTCGGTGTCACTGTTCAATAAACAAAGAACTCATGAAATGCTTGTTTTGTGACGACTTAAATGAAATCACTCCACATTACGATGAACGCGACATTGAAATAGTCCATAACCACATGGCTAAATGTGAGAATAAATACAAATCTAAATTATGTTCGTCATTCTGTATTCATTTAACTAGTTGTAACCTTTTTTTCAGTCCTACGCCAGTAGGCGGCGTTAACACTGCGAGGGGATTGCAGTGTGCAGCGTAACCAATCACTGAAATCGATCGTAACCGATCGTAACGATCAGCGTAACCAAGTCTGATTGGTTACGCTGATCGTTACGATCGGTTACGATCGATTTCAGTTATTTGATGATGGATTGTAGTGAATCACAGGCGTCAAACTCCAGTCCTCAAGGGCCGGTTGTCCTGCAGTTCTTAGATGTGCCACAGGTACAAAAAAACCGGAATGAAATGGCTTCATTACCTTCACCTTGTGTGGATCAGTTCTCCAGAGCCCTGCTAATGACCTAATTATTCTACTCAGGTGTGGTGCAGCAGAGGCACATCTAAAAGTTGGTTATATTCCAAATGAGATGAACACTTAAAATTGTCGATCGTGATTCAGCAATATTTATTTACTTACTTATCATTTTTTGAAGTGCCACTTCCTTTGGAAAGCTTTTGCACACACTCGGGTTGTCTGTTGTCTGTGTGCTTATGTGAAACGTGTTAAGAAAAGGAATTCAAAACTTCGCCCCATCAATCAACATGTCAGGTCTCGATGTCTGTGTCCGATGAACTCTCCGCCCTCTGGCTCCTCCGATAAATCAAACGCAGATGTTGAAGCAAAGACGGCCCACTTCCCCTCTTCTGTCACCCACGCGGTCGTCCAGCGCCGTGGAGTGAGGCTGAGCAGCTTTTGGTCAAAAAAGGACGGACCTGATTAAAGGGAAGCTTTTGTCCCAGAATCACTGGAGTCACAGAGTTTGGATCCGGGTTCATGGAGTCTTCTCTTGAGTTCTCCAGCTCTCTGGGCAGCGTGTCCTCCCTGATTAGCCGCTGTCGGACCTTCAAGGTGCTGGTGATTGGAGACTCCGGCGTGGGGAAGACCTGCCTGACGCACCGACTGTGCGCCGGGGAGTTCCTCCGCAGGACTGAGGCCACGATCGGGGTGGACTTCCGCGAGAGAGCGCTGGAAGTTGATGGAGAGAAAATAAAAGTAAGAGGAGACTTTTTTTTTGTTTTGTTAAGATACTCGTTTTAAGTTAAAATCACCCGAAGGCGGTGCAGACATGTACAATGTGCCAAAACGTTCTCCTCCTTTTTTTTACGCAAGGCATAGATCGTTCTCAAGCTAAAACATTTTTGGTATTTTCTTCCTCTTTTTCATGGAGCTGTTGCTTGTTCTCAGCTGAGCAGCAAATTCCCAGGATGGCAGAAAATGAGCCGGACTTTCTGTGTCTGCAGCTTATAAATCACTGCGTGGAAAAGTAATTTTAGTGGTGCGTGTGTGTGAGAACCTCACCAGTGCATCTAATTTGTTGTGATTCTCAACAATGTGATTTGTTGAGAAGCTGCAGACATGGCAATAAGCTCTCCATAAAAATAATTTTAAAAACAATGTGTGTGGGTGTTTGGTTGGTTGGTTTCCTGAGTGTTTTGAAATTGACACATGACAGAGGAAGTGTCTAACTTTTCTGCTCTATGCCGTTCGGAGGAGATGGTTTGATTCCCCCCCTCTGGTCTCTGATGGGAGGAGTGTCGTGTTGCTCAATAGCAAAACTCATCTGCCTTAGATTCAAGATGTCATGGTGATTTTTATTTTATCGTTAAAAAAAACAACTTTGCATTTGATGTGATGGGTAAACACAAGCTGGAGTGTTATTAGGAAGGGAAGGAAAAGGATGCATATGTTTTTGTTTCGTTTTTTCAAATGCTTGCATCCAGTGCTTTGTAAAACCACACAGCAGCTACAGCTGTAAGCTTTGACGCATGTCTTTGCTTTGCAGATCAAAAGACTATTTGTGCCCATTCTTTGCAAAAACATCTGATTTTATCGAACATCTACAAACATCGGTTTCGATGGGAGTTGTTGCTTTGTTTCTTCATATGGAATATTCCTTTCAAGTAAACATAGGTTGATTGGCGTTTGATCTTTCCTGTCAAAATCAGGAGATTTCTGTCAAAATATTCAAATATATGCCGTTAACACATCATGCTACAACAAAATGTATATAAAAAAAAAACATTAGTCAGCTTAGTAATTGGGAAAGCGCAAATCTGAAGCTTGTGAAAACCAGACACACGCCTGACATGGACGACGTTTCATGAATCACCTTCAAAAAGTGATTCATGAGGAGAATAATTGGGCTTAACGAGTTGCCATAGATGAGTGAGACAGGGTTGGTCTGAGGAAGCACACAGTATAATGTCATCGGTGTTTGCAGGTTGCATCTCAGTAAATTAGAATATGGGTTCCGATGAGGCTCGTCTCTCGAATTAAACGTACCTTTTGAAAACAACGGCCTCTAACGGGAAAGTCACTGTGAAAATGAGGCTTGAAAACATCGGAGTGTGTTTAATTTATATGATGCGTTTCAGCTGAAATGAGCCACTGAGGTAAATAAATGAACTTTTTAATATTCTTGCAGCCTGTACAGGTCTGAGGAGCAACTTATTAAATCAGGCCTTTGTGCCAACTTATAAAATTGGGAATCTGATGGAGATGATGCAAAACTTTGCTAATTATATGTACAATGTTAGTCCAATTAATACGTCCCTCTGTGGTTAAACATGGCGGCATCATTCTGTGGGGAAGTTTTATTGTTCAAATCAGGATCAAGGAAAACAAGACAAGAAATGTTAAAGTAAAGCTTAGTAAATTATAAGCCCAATGGCAGAGTATATACTTTAAAAATTAAAGTTTGGTGGAGATTAAACATTTTTGAGTGAGAGTAACTTTCAGAGGAAAAGTTTGCTAAGCTTGTGGCGTTATACCAAAGAAAACCCAAGACTGATTGTTCAATTAGAAAACGATTACAGCTCATAATACTGTATTGGATCAGTCATTTACTTGACATCCAGATCTTTCTCCTGTCTGTCCTGCTGGTGAGGAACGTAGCGCTGCAATCTGCTCCAAGTCCAAACAGGATGATGTGGACATTTTGGATCGAATGTCTAAGTCTGTACCACACTCATTGATTGAGACGACCATGTTCAAGCAAAAAGAGATGGACTTTGAGTCCTGCTAATTCTCTTCGGACTCATCTGATGTCCTGGTGTGAAACGGACCTGTCCAGCCGCTCATCCTGCTGCTGAGTCAATTTTAAAGTACTAAGAAGAAAAGAAAGAAAGAAACGTCTCGTTTCAAAATATTGACCTGAATGTTCTCCAGGTCGAAGTCAACGTGTTTTTCTTTCCTTTGCTCGCCATCAGAAACGACGCGCTCTTATTTCTCCGAATGACGCCATCTTTTCTTTGCTTCTGTTCTGCCTGTTTGGAGCCAATTCAACATGCGATTGCTTTTCCTCCGTTTGCCTTCAGTCTCATTCATTTCCCCCTTCTTTTTTTTTTTAAATGTTTTTGTCTCTGCCACCTAACTTTGAGAAAAGGCCACATCTCGGTTCTGTACTCAATTCCCTGTTTCTCATTTTGCATCCCGCCGATCAGCTCCAGCTGTGGGACACGGCAGGACAGGAGCGCTTCCGGAAGTCCATGGTGCAGCACTATTATCGGAACGTCCACGCAGTGCTGTTTGTTTACGACGTCACCTGTCCGGCCAGTTTTGATGGGCTGACCGCCTGGGTGGAAGAGTGTCGGCAGAACTCTCTGGGTCATGAAATACCCAAGTAAGTTGAAGTAAAAGCACTGAAGTTTAATGCAAAACAGAAACTTTTAGAAATAAATCAGCTTCGTGGTGGCAATACAAATAATATTATGAGGAATTATAATTTTTTTATCAGTTAAAGATGAGATGCAAGAGCTTGTTTAATAATTCTTAAAAATGCCTGGTTTATTTTTGCATCAGCCCAGAAGTTGGCATAACTGTGCACAAACAGTGAATAGATTTGATTTTTTTTTTTTTTTTGCTTTAATACAAACGATGAACTTTAAAGTCTTGAAGTATAACAGTGTTAACTTTTATGATGGCGTTAACGGTTTCTGGTTTTGCTTTGAATGTTCTTGTGATCTCTGTGTGCTGCTGCCAGTTTCTTTTGCAAAGTAACTTTTTAATCTCAATGGGATTTTCCTGGTGAAATAAATGTTTAAATAAAAGAACTCACTCAGCATCAACTATATTGAGGCAAGGCTCCATAATAATAATAATAAAAATTTAAAAAAAAACTAAGTTTCAAAATTACCTTTTGCAAAACTTGATATGAAATGATTTCTCATTGCTGTCAGCCATTAAATAAGAAACAGGAACTGATCTTGGATATATCCTTTGTCTATTGTCTTTTTGTTTGAATTAAAATCTGATTTTTATTAGTAATTTTAATATTTACTCCTCTACAATAAACAAATCCAATTCCTTTTAGTCTAATAGGTGCAGTTCAGCTGTTGGTTTAGACAACATGATTAGTTAAAACTGGTTGATCTGCATAAGACGTCAAGTTTCCCCAAAACAAAGCCTGCAGGAAGCTTGCAATTTGAAAAATGTCCCAAGTGCAAAGCCCTGTGGAGCTCCACAGTGACGCGTTCCATTTGTTACCTTTCTCCTCAGGTTCCTCATTGGGAATAAGAGCGACCTCCGTGATGCCGGCAGAACCGACAGCCATGTGAGCCAGGAGCTGGCGATGAACTTCGCCAAGGCTCGTGGGATGGTTTTCTTTGAGACTTCTGCCAAGGACCTGCCTAAGAAACGCTTAAACGGACACCGAGATGAAGGAGAGGAGCTGCTTCGGCGGAGTGAAGTGGAGGACATTGTCACTGCCGTCGGGACGATGCTGAAGAGACACAAGACACTAGTGGCTAACTCTCCAGCGTACAGCGGATCTTTTAAAGTTCACAGGAGAAAGCGGGAAAAGGAGCCGTGGAGTTGCTGCTGAGACCGGTTCCGATTCCCTCTGCACTCCACCCCTCCAAGTTGAAACTGTGACTCTATGGCTTTTTAATATGAGCATCTAAATGTAAAAATTCACCTTGTGATTCATTTTGACCAATGCCAAATGTTTTTTGTAAGAGCTTTGATTTTCATAATGATGTATTCCTTGAAATTTTTCTGTATATTTGTGATCTTATTGTTTCAAAATAAAAGACTGTTGATTCAAACATCCTTGAGCCTTCAGCACAGTGATGTTTGTTCTCGGCCTGTTGTCTCACTGGGAATGTCCGCTATCTGGGACCGTTTTCCCACTCCGACTCTTTCCCTTCAGACACTGCCAATGGAGACTCCAGTTCTTCAGGTTGTTCCAGGTCAAAATATGGAGAACATAATTTTTGAAAGATCAATGACTTGTACAATTTTTATGTTTTTATATTTGTTGCACTGGTGCAGCTTGAGCTTAAATAAAAGCCTGACAAGTCGACTTGTTGTTGACCTTTTATTTTTCAAATTTCAACGTACTTCAGAAATGGCTTTTATTCCGGCTCCACCAGTTTTCCCCTGACCACCAGCTCAATTACTGAAATCTGTTTTTATTCCTTAACGCGGCAAAACATTCACCAGTCAGACTTCTACCTTTTCCACCCTGTAAAAAAGACAAACGCAGGTCCTCACATTCACTTTAAGGTTACAATCAGATGAGGTTATGGACAGAGTCTTGAATGCATAAGTGGCATAATATATTTTTTGCTCAAAATGTTTTACGTTTTAGCAGCACAGACTTTGTGTCTGCATGTAACTGTTAAACTGAGTTTTCGCAAGTGTGTGTGACATTTGGGAAGTTTTGTTTGTTTTCCATGATTTTGTGTCAGAGGATCCTGTGGTCAAAAAGGTGACCTTAAGGAATGTAAATATTTCTGTGAAGTGCGCAATTAACAATCCGGAGGGTTGATGGTGTGACGGCATCCTCGTATGTTGAACATGTTCACCAAAGAGCTGCAAGCTGAAAGGTTTTAGGCCGGTCCGGCTGTGATTTCTTTACTCTTGATATGAAACATCCATCAGTTGACACGCTGTAACAATAACATGTTTTTATGACGCTCCTCTGACCGTTTCCCATTCAGCATTTCATCCTGGAGGAACAAACTTCACAACGATCACACTGCGTTCTTATGCGTGACCCCGATGTGTGTTTGTGTGGAAAAAGTGCATCACATGTGTTTCTGTGATGATGTGTGTAATCGGTGATTCATAGCTGGTCACATGAGGGACACACACACACAGCAGAGTGTGTGGGTGTGTATGTGTGTGTGCCCCGCACTGGTGCAACATTCACCAGTCAAACGTTAGAAGTCTCACTGTGAACTCAAAGAAGACGATAATCGAAGGGACGACGGCAGGCTTTTCTGGAGAATACCATGAAAACAGTAAAGATGTTTGTGCTGAAGATGCAAAATGTGTTTGGTTTTTTTTTTGTTTGTTTGTTTTTTAAAGTAATTTATAACAGAAAACTTAGTTCATGTCTCTTAAGAAAAAAAAAACTTTAGTCATCCTTTGGAAACTATGCTGAGATTGTGCTACAATCTCAAGATGGACTAACATTTATTAGTCCATCTTCCTCAGTTACATCCACATGTTTATGTTCAGAGGCAGGACATCAGATCTCTCCTTTTGTGGTGCTGTTATGTCATGATCACATATAAAAACAGGAACATTGTGATTTTGCAAAAAAATTTGATGTCATAGTGAGATCATCATTGCCGTCTCACGCGGGGACTTGCATTTTAAAATGTAATCTTTCTTTATTTTTCATACATTAAATGCACAAACTGAAATTCTACTTCACATATATATACAGTACCTTGCGAGAGCTTTTATGCTTGATCTTTTTGACACTTTGTCATGTCAACTAATCTAAATGCATTTTATTAGAGCTTCATGTGAACCGACACAGCATGTGGGTTCAGAAAGATGTAGCAGACGGTTTAAAGCAAGGCCAGGTCATAAAACATTATTCTTACCTTATCTAGAAAGGGGAAGAATATGGCACCACAAACCTATCTGCTGATCCCTTTGCTCAGTGAGATCCTGTGATCATTTCTAAGCTCTATGTAAATGTGTCTCCAGTTAAACAACGCAAAGAGATTATTTCAGAACTGTAGGTTCACCAGATCCATTATAATTGACGTGACTTGTAAACGATCTCTGTTCGGATGTTTGTCATTGAGTAAACTCAGACTTCCTTTTTTTTTTTTGCAACCGTTACAAAAAAAAAAAAGTCACAATCAATTGTTCTCCAAGGCTTCTGAAGGTTTTTCTACGAACATTTTTCTTTTTTAAACTTTCATTTGAACTACTTTGGATTATGTAAGAAATAAGGAAACAGTTGAATTCGTGTTTGTTTACATTCATTAAATTCCGAATGACATTTGTGCGGGTGAGACGCATCTACTTTTCAAGAAATATTTATGTAAAGCATCATAAATAAAATTTGTTACAATAAAAAAAACGTTTTAAAAAGAAAAAGAAATGGAATAGTTAAAATCAATGTATCGAAGTGGGCAGAATAAATAATAAAAAAAAGCAAGAAAAGGTTTGAAAGAGACAAAAAAATCACCTCTCACTGATATTGCTGAAGCAATGATTATTTGTGGCCTGTGCGCCTCTTCTTCCTCTTCTTCGCCTCCCTCCATTCGGTTTGGACTTTGTCTCTGACATCAGTGTTTCACATCAATACTCTGGCACCGTTTGCTTCGTTGTGCAACTCCAGTCCGCTCTTTCCGTGCAGACGGTTTGGTCTGTAATCCGTTTGAAACGCAGCCTGCGGGCTGTCTGAACCTTCTCACCCTCACACATGCAGACGGATCGTAAAGACAGATCACTTCCATCAGTCTGTTCGGTGACTATTACATGAGATTTAAGAATTCAGCTTAACATCTGCAGAAACACACATTCCTACTTCCAAGAAGATTGCTTTTCTTTTTTCCCCTTGTCCATTTGTAGTTTGAGATTGTCACCTGCAGGGGGCGTTCTTTTTGTTTCGGAGTGGGTGCTGGTGTGCTCTTTATCCCGAGCATTGCACAGGAGGAGAGCGCTGCTCGTCATTTATCTCCAAAGAGCGACTGGAGGCAGACGCGTCGTTCCACCTGCTGCTGAAAAGACATCAACATGTTCTGCAGACGGGCATTGCAGAGAGTCGGGCCGCTGGCACGGTGGCTTCTGAGGCCCATATCCAAGAGCAGTATGTTGTTTATTTACCACTGTCTGGTATTTAGTCTAATTATCAATCATCATTGGAACTGGTGTTCTTTAAAAGAAGTCGGGGGAACAAGCTTGATGTGTTTTCGTCATTGGGGGGGAAACGGCGGGAGTAACTTTTAAAAGTGTGATTTAAAAAAAAAAGTGATTATTACTAGCTATATCAGTTTTTTAAGGTTATTTTGGAAGAGAGAATCTTAGCTGGTTTTTAATGTGCAGAGTCTGAGTGAAGGAGGTGTGTCCTGGATGGGGAACACGCAGTTCTTACATGCATGTCAGAGGTTTGCAGCTAAAACTCTTGAACTGTGGATAAAATGTTTCAAACCGTTTCCATATATTGGTTAGTATTTTAAATTTTTTTTTTGTTAAATTGGTGTCATTTTCAAATATATATATATATATATATATATATATATATATATATTGTGAACTATCTTCTGTAGTATCAGTCCAAATATGGGAATCATGCAACAGTGATGGGACTTTTAACACTGTGCACCATTAGCATGTCTCATTCCATGTCTCAAGCATTTTGGAAGCGTTGGAGTTGAACTGTTCTCTTGTTCTTTTTTATATCTTTCTGCGTGCATGCTTCCCCTGATCGTCCTTTGCATTTGGAGTTTGAGCTTGTGGAATCTGTCCTGAGGGCGAGGGGCAGCTTTAATTTCCTGTTTCAGAAAATCCCTGCAAATCTGGCTGGAAAACTATTATTGTGTGACTTTCTGATTTAAACAAAGAGAGCAGAGCTGGATGCAGGAAGCTACTGTCCTTGCAGGCTGTTTTCTGCCTGACGTGCGTTCATTTTTACATGCAGCTTGAACTTGAGGAATCCACAGGGATTAACTGATTACCTGTATAAATAACCTGCGCATGGAGCTGCTGTGTCATGGGTATTAGAGCAGGAAGAAGGACAGATGGCTACAAAAGCATCCACGACTAGGCAATATGAGTAAACTTTACTAGGAAAGCCGTGCACAAAAATGGAAACCCTGAGCTTTAAATCCAGCAGAGCTAGAACAATAACCATCTCAACATGACTGATTTTTCCTCTTTTGCTAAATGTGGAGCAAGAAAAACAAAACAGCTTAGTTTTCCAATTCCTGAATCTGTTGCTCAAGTAAGATTCTCTGTTGTTTTGGTGAGTTCAGGATGAACTCTCCTTCATCTAAAAATGTCACATAGATTCGGACTGCCTGGCTCGACAAGAGCAGGAGTCACCCAGCATCCTTTCGTGGTAACTTTAATGCGTGTGCAGCACTTTTTGCAAAAAGTGGTTTTTACTACCAAAAAGCAAAACAAGCTAATCAGATTTTGTTTATAGAGCACACACTAAAATGGAATGAAGAGCTTTTACAGGCGTTCAGACAAACATGCCAACAACGCTGAAGAATCGCAAAAAACATAAAATAAATTGTGTATTACTAATAAGAAACAGAACAGAAAATAGATGATCACATGTAAGAGATTTTAAAATCTAAAGTGATACTGAAAACAACATAAAAGATAAATAATAGTAAAGACCCGACGATCAAATTGAAAATGCAAAACAACAAAGCAAAGACAAACTCTGACGTTCCTGTACGGAAAGTAAAAAAATAAAATAAAATAAGGTGCAACTCTGAAAGTCGAAATGAAAGTCAGGCTAAAAAGAAAACATTAGCC